ACTGAACCAATTACCGTCTGGGAACGCTGCTCCCTTTGCTTTCCGAGTTTATGAAGTCTATAATAGCTGGTGCACTTATGCAGTATCTTGACAATCACGAGATGATAACACCAGAGCAACATGGACTCCGACAGAAGCGCTGATGCACTACTGTATCATCACGGATCAAGGGCCCTGCTTCGAGTCAAAAGCGTTTAAGGCAGTGTTGGACAAGTGGGGCATCCAGAGACGGAGAACTTCACCGTACCACCCACAAACCAACGGCATGACCGAGCGGTTCAACCGGACATTGAAGACGTGGATAAACTGCACGAAGTTGGCATGGGAAGATGCTTTGCCTCAGGTTCTGATCGCGTATCGGACCAGCATGCAACCAACCACCAAGGTCGCGCCATTCGAATTACTGTTCGGCAGAGAACCACGGATTGCGCTCGATACTTGCCTACCCAACCAGGGCGAGCGAGAACATCCAGCTGGGCATCAAGAGCGACTGCGAGGGAAAGCTAGAAGCGAAACCAAAGCTCGACAAGCGCGGAATAAGCGAAATTACGACGCCAGGCATGAGGCTCACAAGTGGAGGCCATTCAGGATTGGAGAACAAGTCAAGTTACGGAACAACGATCGGCCGGATCATGACGGGCCGGGCGCAAGCAAGTTCAGAAAACGCTGGAAAGGCCCCTACACCATTATCGACCAGAAAGCGGGCAACTTCTTAATCGACTGCAGAGGAATGAAACGTTGGGTGAATGCTGCTCTCCTGCGACCATGGTACGAGAGGAAGAAAGGTCCTGGAGGAGGGGCGGGTGTAGATGGGCCGCTTCCAAGAATGCCTCGGGGGAGCTCTTCGGAGCTAGCTGAGAGCGGATCGAGAAGGACGGCTAGCGACGAGCCTGGGCCCGGAACTACGGAGCGGGAATATGTGGACAGCGCAATAAATCAGACATATACGCCGCTAGCGCAGCCCACAGGACCGACGCCGAGCCGATTGACACAGCCCAGAACAAGCAAGTCGAGAGCTCTCGAACGACTCCTGGCCGATCCAAATTGGGTACAGATAAGTGGGGATCGAGGCGAAAACAGGAAGGCAGATCTTCCAAGTCAGAGCTCCCGAGGCGAAAGGACTGGCTCGTCTCCAACATCCGTACCTGTGTTGCGTTGTGGGACGGAAAGCTAGTCGATATTCGATGGCGCGCGCGAGACCCTCATGTGCCCATTTTCGGTGTGCAATAAACGTCTACCCCCTGTCTTGTCGTTCTCGCTACACTACGAATCTGCTAATTGCACACAGTTGATGTTGGAGCAGAAGCTGATGTCATTTACTTGGACTTCTCAAAAACGTTTGATTGTTTAGACCACCGAATTCTCCTCCATATACGTCAGCTCTATGGCGTTGGTGACCTACTGCTGCGTTGGATAAGCAATTTCGTGCATAAACGTCGGTTGGAAGTGAGAGTACGAGAATCCCTGTCCGACTCAATTCAAGTGGAGTGCGTCGTACCACAAGGCTCAGTGCTCGGGCCCCGGCTATTTCGGATTACCACAAACCATCTGGCGAGAGAAATTACTTGGATTTTCTATTCTTCGCCGTTGATATCAAGTAATAGCGAGTGATCAGAGAACCGAACGACCACGAAAGCTCCAGCGTGAACTCAACAGAATTTCGATCTGGTCAGTTCTGAATACACCACTGTTCAATGTGGAACAACGTCACTATGTTCTATTGCGCTGTAGACATAACTACGTGCAGAGACTTGGATCACGTGTATTGCAGATATCTTCCCAAGAACGCGAACTTGGTGTGCTCATTAAATGTGAGCTTAACTGTTCAAAACAATCAGAGGCGGCTTCGAATAGAGCAAACCAGCACGTCGGCTTGCTGTGGAGATTATTCTGAAGATTCGACCCATTCATCTACCCCATACTGCACAATGCTTACGTGTGCCCTCACGTTGAATACGCCATCCAACCCTAGAAATCTTGGTTAAAACGCGACTTAGAAGTACTAGATAAACCCAAACGATAGGCCACAAAGAACAGCAAGGGTCTACGAAATCTGTTCTACCATCAAAGGCTGAAGTCACTGGGAGTTTTTAGTGGCCACTACGGAAAGCTGCGCAGCGATCCCATATTAATCTATCAAATATTGAGTGACCCTAATCACGTACGCCGTCACTTGCTGAAGATCAGCCATAACATCAATCTCAGGGGTAACTCTCTTAAATTGTGTGCACAGTTTAGCCGTCTGGAATGCCGACGGAATTATTTTGCTCTTCAGGTTAACCAACCCTGGAACTCTCCTCCAAACTTCGTTGTTTCTTCCACTACCTTGGAAATTCTCAAAGGACGATTAGATCTTGCCCTTTGCTCCCAACACTTCTTTACCTGAGCGGTGTTCCTTTGGAATATATTAAGTATCCCTTCAAGACAGATTAATATTTCATATAAAACTTGAGGAGGCGTATTTACTTTTCTCACCGAGTACATCAACTATAACTGTCCGCATGTTGCCTCGTCGTTCGGATCCAATTTCCAATTACACTACTATTATTTAGCAGCGTATCTGCTAGATAAACGCTCAAACAGACAACTCACTTATATTTTGCTAATTGTAGTTTTACCCGCACCATCCTGCGGGACTTGTCAAGCAATTGCTTTTTTTACCCTGCATAAAGCACTGTTCATTGCTCATCAGATTATACAACGGATATCAGATCGTCGTTTAAGAGGAAGCTAAGCGGGGAAGGGAATGAAGGAACTCCCGGTACAAACGCCATTAAGGTCGGCTCTTCGCCATGTAAACAATCATATCCAACTAAACGTGCTCCTCTCTTTTCGTATTCCAGCCCGGCAATCGGAAGACACCAACGGACGCTAAGTTAGCAGTGAGGATCATTGCGCTTGACTACGTCATCGCTTGACTTCCCCGTAGACCTAAGGATCACAAGCTTTTCTCATAATCCGAGGGCGCCGGTTCGAGGCTGTAGAGTGACCGGGCGATCCTCGAAACATCCTTAGCGGACGTGCAACTGGCGGTGTTTGCGCGGCAGTGAAGCGTCGGTACTGCGTACTGGTGTACACTGAACGAAGTAACGTGCTTACTGCACAGCTAACAGAACACAACACAGGAATGAGCAACAAAGTTGGTGTTATGTATATGCTAGGAGACGTTATTTTGCGTATAAGCATATTCATGCTGTTTCACAACGCTCACATATGACCAACTTTATGACAGTTCAAGTGGCCCACTTGCGGTCGCATCAATAATTTTGAAGCAGCTCTTCCTTCTACATAGTGTACCCATTGGTCTACCAAGCGCCTCTAGTACTTCGACGCCGTCAAATGGTTTTTGTGTTCCCTCGCACCTTTCATCCGCGTCATATAATCATCGATTAAGTTGTATTGATTGCACCGCCGTACTGGCGCATACAGGGTCTAACCGTAGGATAGGCAACTCTGAACGAGCACTAAGGATCGACACTATAAATAAAATGATCTTTCTCTTCCTCAACTACTCTACCCCTTCTAATAAGGAGGACATATGCTATACGCATTCGCTCTCCCAACACAACTGTCATTATTCGGCTGATGACCTGTTGAGGTTTTGTGATTTGCCACCGTTTCGAATTTGCCCAGGTACGCGAGACCTCGCAACATCCGTAGCCGCGCATCCGCACGAGGAACTCCTTTTTAATGCATAATAATAACAAAGAATAATAGTTATTGTTTCTAGCTTGTACTTTTACTCCTTATTAATCTTCATTCTGTTTTTAAGAATACCTTGCAGTATCGTGTTTCGGCACGTTAGCTGCGGCATTTCTCACCTCCAGCTAGTCTGCAGAATGATGGCAAGGTGGGTGCGATGGGTAAAGAGTGTGCGGCCTCACATCAGAGAAAGCACGCTCCGGTACCTAAACGATATGCGTAGAAAAGATAAGTCGCAGTCAGCTTACAGTCAGTCTACCACATCACTGGAATTTGCTAAATGAGCATTTTATCATCTTGGGACTCTTCAACATTGATAATTCTCCATGAGTCCTCCAATGAATGTGTGTTTGGAATTTAATGATTTATGTCACAGGGCCATTGGTTACGTTAGTGAACGTCCATAACTGTGATATACCTGCGATATAGCACGGCTCACCAAACAACAATATACTTGTTACCAGGGTACAAAGGACAGAGATTGACTCTTACAGCCGCGACTTCCTTGCAAGCCGTCGTTAATTGAGTTCGCCCCCAAACTCTTCGAGTGCTTACTCGAACTGACGTGGACCTAGAACTGAGCCTTGGGGCACACCATACTCGACTTGTATAGGGTCAGATAAAGAGCTCCAAACTCTGATCACTAATTGCCGTTGAAGTAGAAAGTTGGCAATCCAGCTTAAAAGGGAGTCGCTGATTCTGTAATGCTAGAGCTTGGAGAGTAGTATCCACTGGTCTAGACGATCGAAAGCCATCAAAAATTCCAGGTAGATCACATTTGTAGTGCTATCTAGGCACTATCTGCGTGATGCAGCTTCAATGAAATCACATTATACCTTATGCATATTGTTGCAAGCGGATGCTCCATGCGACAGTATAAATGTTACACAAGATCGTTTGTTCTACCCCGATGAGCTGTTAAAACTAGTCATCACAAGACATCCGGCAACCAACTGAAGGGCGCGGGACTGGATCTTTGGTTCAAAAGTACATTGAACGATTGCGCTTAAGTGAAAGGGAACGATTTGAATGCATGGGCCACAAACCAGTAACGCTCGAAACTCCCCGGACGACAATGTTGGGAATTTTATCCGAACCTGCACCGTCTCTCATTCATGGGGCTGAGCGAGGCTATTAACAATATGTCGAATCGTAATCTGCTTAAAAATGACGCGCATTCCGAATGTGGTTCGATCAGGTGTCTTACTTACTAGCAGTACCCCTTTATTTGTATGTAATCTAACTGGATACTATTGCCGCATAAGGAATCATCTACAATCATGAACTTGTTCACACAGATGCCGTCCCAAGGTCAGTCACATGTGCAATGGAAAAGAGGGTAGAAGAGCTGGAACTTGCCAACATCAGTCTGCGTCATGAGATGGAGCAGTTAAAAGAAATTGCGCTAATTTCCGTCTTCCAAACACAGAATATAGAGCAACAAAACAAGGCACACGAATTAGAAGTTGAGACCTTGCGACAACAGCTGGAAGAACTTGAGTCCAAAGATGAGCACAGCGCAGTCGTAGCCAGATTACATCGACAAGTGACGGGATTGCAAGTAAGTTCACAGACGGCGGTCTAACTTTAGCTAGATCACCGGGTTAGCTGTGTAGGTTCACTTCAGTGTGTTGGATGTCGAGATGTCATCTCGGAAGGTCTAAGTCAAGACCTGGTAACTGACGACTTGCAGCCTGGGATTGGGCTAAGGGGTTGCCGTGCGGCGGCACCAATTTAGCTGCTTTTTAATGCTATGCACTAGTGCAGTAATTTTGCAAGGACAAGTTTATTTGTAGAATGAATACTCATTCCATCTGCTTTCACATTTGCAATGTTTGGACTATCAGTTACAATCATTTTCCCCTACTTATCATTAATATCATGTTTGCGTTCTGTGTGGAGCAATCATGCCATCGAATCAGCTGTACCATGACAAGTTAATCTACTCGTCATTAAGTGCATTCGACTTACTCGTTTTCAGCTCAACAGGTTGACTGATTTTCGAGGCAACAGTTGAGAGGAGTCGTACAGCATAGACGAGCTAATGTTCCCAATGCGTATCGGCATCCAAATCGGTCGATGATTTCGACAGCACTGAGTTAATGTGGAACGTTAGATGCACATGGTGTATCGGATTGCTTTACTTGATCCATAACTTGGACGACTGACGCGGTACTATAGTTCTTCCTTCCGAGTGATATATCCCAATTGGCTGCTTTCAAGGTGAACGTCGGTAAGGTGCCTACTCATAGGTTGTCATCGTTTCCATTTATGTGGGACACAGTCTTCCTGACAGTTCCATCATGGAACGAGCAAGGTCCTCTAGCCACCCTGGCTGCCTGTGGTTGGCACCCCCCCTATACACCTGATTCCTCGAATGCACTTTGCACCCGCAGCCTCTTGGTGTTAACATGACGCAGTCATAACATCACTCAAACTCCGTTATCTTAGGGCGACAACAGTGGACACTCTCACTGGGATATGAGATGTGTGGATGAAGCAGTAGGTGTTGCAGCGTAATCTCCACCCCACCCCCCCCCATGATGGTTACCCGGTAGACGCAGTTGTTCCACAGACGTCTTCATTCACAGTGATATGCCCCAGTCTGGAGGCAAATGTTACCAATCGAATCGTCAGACAATGAGCTGTCAGTTCGTTCTGTAGATGGCATATTGTCCTTACCTGTCGTAATCGAGGATACAAGAGAAAACGATGTATCGCATCACGCAGTCGTGTCAGTGCTGTCTTCCAGAAAATAGGTTTGCAAAAGTGGTAGCGAAAAATCTTCTTAATACTCTCTCGGTTAACTACAAGTTGAAGTATCCGCTTCAATGTGCTTATGTCATCCAGATAGCTACTTCTCGGATGCACGCCTACCTTAGCCATACCTAATGTGTTTCACCGGCAATATCTGAGTGATGTGGCTCTTTGTGAGCGGAATCAATGAAAATGTAGAACCAGTACGATAAGAGTGAACCGCTCCGTCTTCATTAAATCCCGCACTGCTTTAAGAGACGAGCAAGTAGCGTAATAAATTGCAATTGACAAGACTAAAATAATTCGAAATAAAATCGCTGCTGTGTGCATTAAGAAGGTTGTTTGCTCAGTTGAGCTAAGCCAACCATGTTATCCGAAAGCGGACGCCATCGTATCGGCCAGCGATCGCTTGGGAGCTTCCAGTCGGTACATTTAGGTGGAAACTTTAATGTCCCATGCGACAACCGATGCTGCGCGTGGAAGCAATTCTACCTGAATGTACAGCATAACCACTGGTTGTCTCTAGATTCAAACACTTTAAGCCGCATCCATTTTCCTCTTTTTTTCCTTTGCCGCTTTTCCATTCGTTGTTTTGTTGTAGGGGAGGAAATAACAACACAAGTTCATCGGCTTCCTTGCTAATTTTTTTAGATTTCCGAATCCACAGCCGTGTGTCGGCTTGCAGCTACAGAGAAGAAAGCGGCCCATTTGGAATCTGTCATCTTACGCGTGGAGCAACGTTTGGCAAAACGTGAAGCTGAGTTAAGAGAACAGCGGAACTACCACGACCGATGGCGAAAGCGATACAGCGAGACAATTAATGTGAGGCTTTTTCTTCGCTATTAAACACTGCGTACACAAATTTTAGGTTGCTTCTGTGCCATCTCCTTCATCTTCAATTGTTTTAAACTGTTTGCTCAACTAGATCATCTGTACACAGCGAGAGCCGATGGACTGATACTGTCATGGCCACATGTTTGACAGGCTTTCTAACGAGGTTAAACTTTTCCTCAAGGATGTCACGAACCTAGTTTTGAACCAGCCAGCCAACCAGATGGATGTATCTCATTATGTTCTAATGAGGAGTATCGTAACAGACGGAGCAGCTGTGGATCTCGGGCTTCCTAGCAGTGCGACCAACGGAGCACCTAGTACGTTGGACTTAAGGTCAACAGTTTACTGATATGCGGCTCCAGTTCGCGGATTTGTCTGATAATTTCAACCCTACACAATGTTCGGGTGATTCCAAGCGTCGCCACAATGTAAACGATTCGAACTTTCTGTCTGATTTAACACACACAGTAGACATTCACCTCGTTTTCCTTTACTGTTGCTTAGTGAGAGAAGGCCCACTCTACAAATTGAAGATGGTCGAACCGACATAAATCGGTACATTGTTCCACGAAAGTTGTCGCGTCTATGCCCAGTCAGTCAATGGCTGAACTCCATTTCTACGACTCGGCACCTGTATGTAATGCACTTTCTGGTTGAAGTTATGCAGCTTCGTTTGCTTCTCTAATTTCTGACGCATAGCAACAATCGGAATGGCTGTGTAAATTTTCAGGGTATAACCTGAGGCAATACCAGTGTGTTCAAAATGGAAACCACCATTTAACCTGTGACAGGATAAACAGTCAGGTCAACGCGCTGTCTGTTCCTTAGAGTAATGTGCATACATGGAATTCACCTCAACTGAAGCTATGCTGACAGCCGTGGACCGTTTGGAAGAACACAAAACGGATGTTTTTGCCTCTTCAGGGACTCTTGCTTGGGTCTGCAAATTGCGATGCTCTCAGCAAAATCTCACAAACCGCAGTGTCGTTGGCTGACATTAACCCCCGTCGGGAGTCCAATGCCTTCGTCCTCACTCAAATGGCCGCGGAACATTGAAATAGTAAGGTTAAGCCACCGCGATGGTCGGTGCACATTAACGATTTTCCTCACCTGTTAGCCTCTCACAATTGACCTCCAAGCGATGCTGTTTCTGTATACGCTTGGTGGGTGCCGAGTTGGCCGGTTTTGATTGGAATCGTTATGTCCCAATCCAGTCATCATCTACTCCATGCGGCTTACGTTCATCCACGGTAGTTAGAGCATATGGGAAATGCGGTGGGAATTCCATGATTGGAGGACGGAATATAGGGTGGATGATATTACAAATGGTGTCGGGGCACGGATGTATTGTTTTATTCGGTGTAACAGGAGTCCGATTTTCTGAACTCAAGGGCGCATTTCTGTTCACCCTGGAGGAGTGAGCTTCAGCTATCACGCTCATATCATCAAAGTGATACACAAGGCAACAGCCATAAAGTAGCAGCGAAAACCATTATCTGTGAAGTAAAACCTTAACAGTTATCTATCTGACGATAAGGTTCGAGTCAAGTGGAAGTTTAGCTCTCTATGAAATGATCAGAGAAGTGTGAGTTCACATGCTGGCATCTATTGCTCTACACTATGGTGTACTAGATAAACTGACTATACGGCAAGCTGGCCCACCGTACAGACGGTTGCTATGGGTTGGTATATTCGAAATGAGTTTTGTACAGGAATTAACATGAGTAGAAAATATAATTTGGACCTCCATCGGATTTAGCCTACTATTATAGAAAGACAACTGTTTCAGCGGCTTATCAAGCAGCTTGAAATGCTTATCCAATAAATTCGGACAAAGCACAGCAGAGCAGTAAGTCCAATGTGATCAGTCGAGCATCAAACGGTCTGCGCTGGAGGATGCTCGTAGCCAACCGACCTAAAACCGACCTCTTGATTTCGGAGAAGAGAATATGGCTGAATATCGTCAGTCACTACTCCGTTTAGCATATAGGCGTTTGGGCCTTTACGCTGATATTGTTCTGATTGGTCATTTATGCGTTCTACAGTTGTACTCTGTGCATTACCATTGACTGCAAAACTATTTTTACGACACGGTTGGGAATCTCGCACCCAGACTAGTGCACTAGGCTTAGATCAGAAGTTTGGGCTCACATTGGCTGTTCCGTTCATTATTTTAGTGGTGGATTGGGTTCATTCGAGCTGATGCTTTTAATCCTTCTGGATCATTCGGTTTTTGGTTATTATGCTGGATCGAGGTCGATGCGAATGTTGATTGAATTCATGACTGAAAACGATGCTCTAGAAACTAGCTTTCTGCGTTTCTCCTTGGGTCAGGATCTGTTTTCTTTTAGACGGATCTGTGTGCTTATTCATCCACATAAGCTGAAACCAGTGAGGTCGCGCGCCCTTTTGTGTTTGCTGACATCGCTGTGGATGTGGACGAAATTCGACACCATCATTTGCATTCACGTAACTGATAACCACTACCTCGTGAAGTTGTACACATATTCATTGTGACAGCACAGTTAGACCTCTAAAGGGATTACAACGGTACGGTCACCTCCCTGTGTAGGCCTCATGTGTATACTTCCATCAATCTTACGGAAGAGACTATCGACTCTGGTCGCGCAGTAGGAAGATATCTACCTTACACTGACCCTTTATTCATGGTGCGTTTTCTACTTGCAGCGTCTCAGTGTCGCCGTTAATCTATCTATCTCCTTCATACTACAACACATTGGAACAGTAAAACAAACTGAGCGTAGAGGAGTCTCGCAGCATATTCTCTACTGACAGAAGCTCTTTGTCGGGTTTGACCATGAAACCAGAAAAGCTGCTCCATGAAATTTACTCCATATGCTTTCTTGATGCTCTGGCCGCCGCTGAGGATAATAAACGGCGCCTTATCTGCTGCATTGAGCAGGGTGAATAGGGGTAAGAATACTACTGCTCAAGCCTTCCCGTCTTGCGCTTTTCATTCTCATCGTCCCGCTCCAACTTCACTTTTATCCCCCTGTTTTCAATCGCCCAACCCTTGGCCCTCACTTATCTGGTTTCAATAACCGCATGTCTTCTATTGTCGACCCACACGTAAGCGCACGGGGTCGCTCCAGTCCAGTAGAGTAGTCCATGTTAAACCAAGCGGACAGCGGTGGTTCACCCGTTTATCTGGAGCCCCTGATGCTCGAAGAGACTGACATGTCTCAACGTGCGCGCTTTGTTGCTGCTTGTGCAACAGGCAACAATTGCCCGAACATTAGAGACCCTATCGATCGACATATGCTACTTATCGGAAAACCGCCTGCAAGATACGAATACGCAATACTGAATACTGAGAAAATGCAACTTGTAGAGTTGCATCTGTGTGGCTACATCTAGAATCTTTTAAGAAAATCTACCTATTATGATGCAGCTTATTCTAGAAATCTCAAGTCGGCAAAGTGCGAGACCAAGAATTTCTTAAAATCCGGCAGCGACTTTGCTTCGTCTATGTCTGTAGGCAGGTTGTTCGAAATATTCACCACCCTCCGCTGGAAGAAGAGTTGGGGAGCGATCCGCTTTAAATCCGGTCTCCTTGTGTGTTTCTTGATGTGTGCAGATCACTTAGCGGCCACAACATGAGGTAATCAACCAGTGGAAATATCCAGCGCGCCATGATGAGGTCATCCCTCATTCGATGAGAAGAGAGGGTGTACAACTCTATACCTTTTTTCCATTAAAGTTGGACATTCGGGCAAAACATTTAGGCCTGGGGGTCAACAGGGTTGCTCCTCCGGGGCAATCATTTTGAGTCTTCGGTATGCGGAAATGAACCACTCTCTGGCTTTGTAGGGGCTGTTTCATTGGCCAAGCGCCTTCAGCAAATAGGACCTCAGACGCATATCGGTGGCATGGACCCAATTGAGACGCCGCAACCGAAACATGAGCTCACACACCTCTGTGCACAGTGGACGGGGGTGACACCATGTGCGACTGTGTTCCTCTACCCACAGAAGGGCATGTAACCAATCAGCGCACCCCAAAGGCACAGGCGATTGGAGGGTAGGGAAATAGGAGAACGAGACGCAGCCAAATACAGTGCATTTGATAAGAGTCTTTCGTTTTTGCTTAGGCGCCGCGCTGGTCAGGGGTAGATTGGAACGCACTAATTTGCCGACCCACCAATGGCATGTAAGTCTACTGTATTTACTCACCCACACATGTCTGGGGGTGTGAATACGACGTGAGGACGCATATCGGTGCATGTGTCCTTGAAATATGTTAATGACCCTCGTCGAGTTCGACAAAGGCCAGCTCAGATTGGGTCGATGCCGACGTTTTTGGCTGGTGGTTTGCAACATCTCGACAGCAGTGCGTAATGCACTGGCTACCGTGTTCAAATGTTGATGGCGCTTCGACAGTTGCTTAATGTTATCCCAGCAAATGATAAAAGGGTTAGTGACAACGCTGTTGTAGACTGAATGTTACCTTCACATAAACCACCTTAGCAAAATAAGAATTCGTAACAATTAGGCGGTGAAAATATGAGATGCTACTTCTGCATAAATGAGTCCGGAACAATGTCTACCAGCTACTGGAGGCTCATCGGATCTATTTGCAAGTGCGCGGCCGCCTAAGGAGTTAATTCCAGCAGAATACAGAAATAAAAAGAAAGCTGAGTGCAGTGCCTTTTGAACAGATTTTATCAAATCTCATTTTATTCCATCAGCTTGGACAATTAAATCAAAATCAGTTTCGCAATGAGCATGAGAAGGAATTTTACAGTATTGGTATGGTAAAAGAATCCTAAAGTAGATAAAGAAGCGTTTAGGTCAAATCTAATCACCCATTTTAGAAAGAAAGGTGATGGAAGAATCCAGCGCGTACGATGCATTTATTTGATGAAGCCAGTCTGTTTACGGCTGAATATTCAAGCGTTGTTGGTGTATTAAGCATTTTATTGACTTGACTTGAGTTCCCCGCCTTGGCAGACTTGAATGTTTAAATAT